TGGCTGCTTTGTTGTTGGTTTCTAGAACCGTTTCACACACCAGGCCCGGTGAAACGAGCTGTCCCGCTTCACTGGAAGTCTCCGCTACACCGCCAGAACCGAGCGCTCCAGTTGGAGTTCTGGCCCAGATAAGTCCGGATCCTCCTGCCGCCCTCGCCTCTCTGCCCCTCGGCGCCGGCGGCTCAGAAAGCACAGCCGTCCTCCTGGACCCGGACACGCACGCTTTAACTCGGCAGGCACATGTCAGGCCTGGCGCCTGCACAGACGGAGCGCGCCGGCAGAGAAGGACCAGCGCGAGGGAGGGAAGGAAAACCGTGCCGGCTTGTTCCGGAAAGCCGTGTTAATGCAACAGGACAGCCAGTACTTGCTCTGTAGATGAGCCCGTCAGTCAGCGCGTCGCTGCTCGGACCTGGACTCGTGCAGCCGAGTCGATTCCCGTTTGGTACAAATAAAAACCACCATAAAAAATAAACACCGGAGGTTTAAATGACATTTTTATTCTGTTTATCTTGTTGTTTGCTGCGGAAGTTCAGCCTCGCATTTTATAAAACACAGAGTGGGCGGAGCTGCGGAAGAGAACCAGAACATTTATTTATCGCTCTTAATTACACAAATAATTAAAAAGCAGCCAAGAGCTAAATCTGCTCCTGGTTTGAAGCGTTTTCCGCAACAAAGATTTTTCCTATTTGCAAATCCCGACTTTTGTTTCAAAAGAGACGTAATTCACACACACACACACACACACACACACACACACACACACACACACACACACCTACACACACACACGCCGGGTCTGCTGTGTGTGTGTGTGTGTGTGTGTGTGTGCGTGCGTGCGTGCGTGCGTGTGTGTGTGTGTGTGTGTGTGTGTGTGTGTGTGTTATTCATTAAACTGGATAATTACGGCGAGGACGAGGCAGGCTGGCGTACGACCAGACTCCCGTTCGCTGGCTGGATCTGCACAAGGGTGAAATGTTTGGAGTGGCAGGAGAAGGTCCGCGGACCGGGCCGGGCCGGGCCGGGCCCTGTGGGTCTCTGTGCAGTGACAGCTGCTGTGGACTCAGAGCGGGCCGGGTCGTCGGAGGCCCCCACGCGCCTCAAAGCAAATGAAAACCGCGCCGCGACACCGGCTCTGTCCCGACACAAGAACGGCTCCAGCTGAGGCTCGGGTCTCACGGGCCTGCGGAGCGCGCCTCTCCAGCTCCGTGTGCAGCGTAAATAAAAACATGTTCAGGACCCGGCTGTGTGGGTTTTGTGCTTCTCCACCCGTCTGCTAAAGTTCCTCACAGAGGCTCAGGATGTCGGGGGGCACAGATAAGCTGCGTCTGATGGATTAGTGAGACGTGAAGAGGCACCGAGTCCAGGGTCCAAGTCCCTCCCTTTGTTGGCCTCTTCCAGAGGAGCTCCTCTCGGTCGTTTATAACGTCCGAGGCACCAACAAAGACACGCTGATGGACAAATGAACATCTCAGGCTTGCAGTTGCGCCGCGGCAGCGTGGCACCGTTGGCTCTCAGACCGGCCCGGCACCTCTGCGGCCCGTCTGCGGCAGCACACAGAACCAACACTCAGAAACAGCTTCTCATCATAACAGCGCCAGCAATGAAAGCCGCGTGAGGAGGTGCGCGCCCCAAACGTGACTGACGCTGGAGCTGCGGGGGTTTGATCACCGCCGAGCACCAGAGCCAAGGTCTCACCGGGAGGAGCAGGTCCAGGAGCCGGACCCCAAAGCTTCCCCATCACCCTGACCCCCTTCACATCTCTAAATTAAACCTCTGCACCGTCCAAAACCACCAGCACCCCAACAGTGACATCACAGGGGCAGAAAACAGCCAGGTGGGCAGCTGTGGACCAATCACTGGGCCCGGAAACGGGTAGCTTCCCAGACGCCCTGGAAGGACGAGCTAAGAATGAAAGTGCTGCTGCCACTCCAAAGGTCAGAGTGCAGCCGCCGTTCCCCGTGACCTCCGACTAACCCCGGCACCTCTGAGGGGGAAGGACAGAGCAGATCCGCTTCTTTCCTCCTGCCGGGTCAGATCTAGTCATGGTTCCGGTCTGGGAAGACTTAGGAATCTGGGCCCAGCGTGAAAAGGGCAAAAGTCAAACATACGGCTTTGACTCTCACGGAAAACAGGAAACAATGAAGGCCGCCTTCTCAGCTGGACGTGTCGCTCTGAACAGCGGTTTGTCCAGCGGGCTGGGAGCTAATCTGGGCCGCGGGTCGCCACGGAGCTCTGTGGAACAGGAAGAGGCGCTCGCCGCAGCTCAAGCGCAGTTACAGCCTGAACGCCGGCGGGCGAGAGGGACACTCCCCGCCAGTCGGAGGAATAAGGTCCCCATGCTGCGGACCAAAACTGGAGCCAAAGGCGCTCCGCAGCGGCCTCCATCAAAACACCGCTGAGCAACGGTGCCGCTGCGTTCACTCCTCTGATGTGTTACACAACGACCCTCGCTGCTGAAACAACAACCAACTGATGATGTCAGACCCTGACCCTGACCCTG